GGAGCCCGATGCGGGGCTCGATCCCAGGACCCTGGGATCATGACCTGAGCCGAAGGCAGACGCTTAACCAACTGAGCCACCCAGGCGCCCCTTTTGCTTCTTTTTTAGATTGTGAACCTATTTAATATGTTTATCACATATGGCGACACATTCCTGCCCACTCCCAGCAGCTATGATGAACTCTACTATGAGATTATCCGCATGCACCAGAGCTTTGACAACCTCTACTCTATGGGTAAGCTGTCTTTTCTTTTTACTCCCCTCCCCGCCATCAGCTGCAATTTTTGGCATGTAAGAGGAAAAGACTACAAAAGATTCTCTTCTAGTTGCTTGGTTCCCTGCTTGGCACAGAAATCTAGAAGTCTCTTCTCAGGCAATAGGAAGTTACATGTGGAGTTCTTTGATTTTGGGAACTCAAAATTCATCTCAGGACAAAGCTGGTTAGCAGCCCTATAGCCCTTATGTTTGTGAGAGAGAGAGAAAGTAGGTAGGCTTGTGGATTTAGTGACTGCCAGTGAGATGGGAGTGAAAGAGTGGGTGGAAATTGACAGCGGCAAATAGAAGAGCTTGGATCCCAAAGGAACATTGTGTGATTTGAGAAGGTACAGGATTTTAAAGAGTTTTAATGTACCTATGTATTTTTAGCATAACCTACAAGAAGAAGTGGGCAGTAGATAAAAATCTCTCTTGCCATCCTTTTGGTGATTGGCTCAGTGAAAATTTACTTTGTGGCCATAGTAAATATAACTTATTTCTGAAAGAGGACATGTATTTCTGTAAATCTGAGTGAGGAGTCTACAAACCTACCTGGAATTTGAAAGGTCAGGAAGGGTTTCTGTAGATTCCACAGAAACAGAAAGCCCCTCACTAAAGCTTTAAAAAGAACAAACAAACCCTCACTTACTAGCTTTATTGAGGTATAATTGATATATAATAAACTGCACTTGTTTAAAGTATGCAATTTTTGATGTTTTGACATACATCTATATATACGAAGCTTTCACTACACTCAAGATAATGAACATACCCGTCACCTACCAAAAGTTTCCTTTATCCCTTTATGTCCCTCCTACCACCTCTAACCACCTCTGTCCCTTGCTTTCTTTCTCTGGGCAACCACCAGTCTGCTTCCTGTCACTACAGATTAGTTTGCTTTATCCCTTTTGTTGGGACTATTTGTAAAAACTCTCTCCCATATCAGGTGCAAACTAGAGGGGATTTGGAACAAGTACTAGGAGAAAGAGTAGAAGCAAACAGTAGAAAAGAAGGATTGCCTAGGAGGACAAAATTTTTTTTTCTTTTTTTTTAATAAAGATTTTATTTATTTATTTGACAGAGAGAGACACAGCGAGAGAGGGAACACAAGCAGGGGGAGTGGGAGAGGGAGAAGCAGGCTTCCTGCTGAGCAGGGAGCCCGATGTGGGGCTCAATCCCAGGACCCTGGGACCATGACCATGACCTGTTAAGGCAGATGCTTAACAACGGAGCCACCCAGGCGCCCCAACAGAATGTTTTTCTAATAGATTTTCTTTTTTAGAGCAGGAGAGAAAAACTTTTAAGAGCCACATATAGCTTTGCTATGACATCTTAGGCAGTGGGAGTAGGGCCTTGTATTAGTAGGATGTTTTCACCTGCAAGTATCAAAAAACTCTGACTTAAACTACCTTGAACAATAGGAAAATTACTTCACTTTGCAAGAATTCTAAGGAATGACACTTCCAGAAAGATGTGATCCGATGCTCAAGGACCCGGGTGTTTTCTGTTTCTCCACTTTCTTTCTTAGTATAATAGCTTTAGCATCAGGTCAGCTCCCCTGAGAATAACAAGTTCCAGTTGTCATATCAAGACACATGGTCTTTTTTTAGGAGCTAGGAAGTCTTCCATGAGAACCCTTTAGCAGACTTCCTATTGCCAAATGTGCTCAGTGTTCCTAATGTGGTTTTGTGTTCACCCAGCTTTACCAATATCCTTGTTTTCGAGAATGTAGAATTTTCCAAGGGTGAAGAGCTGCCTCAGAGGCCTTAGCATCCATTAATAGATGAATAAAGATGTCTTTCAATGAGGAAAGGAAGGAGAGTTGGAGTGGGGGAGATATTTTATAGAAGCCTGACATACCTACTCAACTGGGCCATGTGCACAGTCAAATGAGGTAAGCCTTTGTAGCTACAGCAACAAGATAAGAGAGGATATCTGGGCATGCTCAAATCTGCCAAGGCAATTAAAATGTGAACCAGGAGATCACAAATAGGAAAATGAAAAATTTCACTAAATGAAACACAACAAAGAGCATGTTTCAGTGCTTTCCATTTTGTATAAAGTATGATGAAAAAACGGTTTTGTTTTGTTTTTTAAGATTTTATTTATGTGTTTGAGAGAGAGAGTGAGAGAGAGAGAGAACATGAGCAGGGGGTAGGGTCAGAGGGAGAAGCAGACTCCCCGCTAAGCAGGGAGCCTGATGGAGGACTTGTTCCCAGGACCCTGGGATCATGACCTGAGCCGAAGGCACATGCTTAACTGACTGAGCCACCCAGGCGCCCTAAAACATTTAGTTTTTTAAGTCAAGTTTTTTAAAGGTATAATTTACATGTATGGTTTTTAATGTACAATTCTGAGTTTTGACAAATGTGTATAAAAGTATAATTATCACAAAAAATCAAGATATAAAAGAGTTTCATCATCCCAGAAATGTCTCTTGTGCTCTTGTGAGGTCAACTCCTTCACTCACCCTAAACCCTCAGCAGCCACGAATCTGTTCCCTGGTCTCAGAGTTTTTCTTTTTCCTTTTTTTCATAGTTTTGTTTTTTCAAAAAAAACCCCAAAGATGAGATTGTATAGTCTTTTGAGTCTGGCTTCTTTTACATAGTAATTTATTTGAAATTCATCCATGTTGATGCATGTATCAGTAGTTTATTCCTTTTAAAAAAAAAAATTATCTGAGAGAGAGCGAGAGAGAGCACGAGCAGGGAGCCTGATGCAGGACTTGATCCCAGAAAACTGGGATCATGACCTGAGCCAAAGGCACACACTTAAACGACTGAGCCACCCAGGCGCCCCTGTTTATTCCTTTTTATCGTGGAATAATATCCCGTTGTAGGACTATGCCAGCTTAGTTTATCCATTTCTCAGTTGAAGGACATTTGGGAGGTTTCCAGTTTTTAACGATTATGAATGAAGCCCCTGTGACCATCATTGTGCAGGGTTTTATGTGAACACAGGCTTTCGTTTCACCCGGTCACATACCTATGAATGGGTTTTTGGCTATCATGGTTAAGTATATGTTTCTTATAAAGAAAAACACCAGACTGTTTTCCAAAGAGGTGTACTATTTTACATTCCCTTCAGCAATATATGAGTTGTAGTCCCTCCAGCCAGTGCTGGTTTGTTGGTTGGTTGGTTGGTTTTTGGCTTCTTACAGGTGTGTGGGAATATCTCATTATGGTTTTAATTTGTATTTCCCTAATGAGTAATGATGTTGAACATCTTCCTGTTCTTATTTGCCATCTTGTTTGGTTTTGAAGATCTTTTGCCCATTAAAAAAAATACTGCATACCCATGTTCATAGGAGCACTATTCACAATAGCCAAGAGATGAAAACAACCCAAATGTCCATTAATGGATGAATGGATATATGCAGCCTTGAAAAGGAAGGAAATCTGTTACATGCTACAGTGTGGATGAACGTTGAGAATATCATGCTAAGTGAATAAACCAGTCCACAAAAGGACAATATTGTATGGTCCCACTTACATGAGGTACCTAAAATAGTCAAATTTGTAGATATAGAAAATGGAATGGTGGTTACCAAGGGATGGGGGGAGGGTGCAAAGGGAGTTGTTTAATAGGTATAGAGCTTCAGTTCTGCAAGATAAAAAGGTTCTCGAGATCTGTTTTGCAACAATGTAAGCATACTTAACACTTTTGAATAATACACTTAAAAATGGCTAAGACAGTAAATTTTATGATATGTTTTTTTCTACCACACACACACAAACTAAACTCTAGACTTTATTTGGATTCTATTACTTTTTTTTTTAAAGATTTTATTTATTTGACAGAGACAGCGAGAGAGGGAACACATGCAGGGGGAGTGGGAGAGGGAGAAGCAGGCCTCCCGCAGAGCAGGGAGCCCGACGTGGGGCTCGATCCCAGGACCCTGGGATCATGACCTGAGCCGAAGGCAGACGCTTAACGACTGAGCCACCCAGGCGCCCCTCTATTACTTTTTTTTAAAGATTTTATTTATTTATTTGACAGAGAGAGACACAGCAAGAGAGGGAACACAAGCAGGGGGAGTGGGAAAGGGAGAAGCAGGCTTCCCATGGAGCGGGGAGCCCGATGTGGGGCTCAATCCCAGGACCCTGGGATCATGACCTGAGCCAAAGGCAGACGCTTAACGACTGAGCCACCCAGGCGCCCCTGGATTCTATTAATTTTTCCTCTAATGTCCTTACTGTATTCCAGGATTCCATCTATTTTACATGTAGTTCTAATATCTCTTTAGTCTCTTCTTGTCTGACAGTTTCTTAGTGTTTGTTTTTCATGACCTTGACAGTTTTCAGGAGACTCTTCCTTAATTTTGGTCTGTCTCATGATTTACTCAGGGTTGGACTGGGGTTCTGGGTTTTCAGGAAGAATGCCACAAAGTCCAAGTGGCCTTTCCATAACATTTGGATGTTATGTTATCAACATGACTTATCACTGGCAATATTAACCTTTATCACTTGCTTAGGGTACTATTTGCAAAGTTTCTCCAGTGTAGAGTTGTGGTTTTTCCTCCCTTTTCATACTCTGTTCTTTGGAAGCAAGTCACTAAATACACTCAGCACTGAAGTTGGTAGTGGGGGTGGGGAGGTTAAGCTCCACTTCCTTGAGGGGAGAGTATCTACATAGATTATTTAGGGTTCTCCTCTAAGGAGAATTGGTTGTTTTTTTTTTTTTTTTTTTTTGAGATGTGAGGTTTCTTTGTATATTTTGCACAGTAGTCCTTTATCAGTTACGTGTTTTGCAAATATTTTCTCCCAGATTTTAGCTTGTATTTTCATTTTCTTTTTTTTTAAGATTTTGTTATTTGTTTGTCAGAGAGAGAGAGAGCACAGGAGCGGCAGGCAGAGGGAGAAGCAGGCTCCCCACTGAGCAAGGAACCCGATGCAGGACTTGATCCCAGGACCCTGGGATCATGACCTGAGCTGAAGGCAGATGCTTAACCCGCTGAGCCACCCAGGCATCCCTGTATTT